GTCAGGGGTTCGTCTTGGTGCAGGAGCTGACGCTAGAGCCCAAGATTAAACAGACCACACTCCACACGTTGATAATATTATTAACCAAGTTTATTGAAGAAGAAAAAGAATGAAGAAAGATACATAGAAATGTTACATTGAGAATGACGACCCTCGCCTCTTGCGAGCTGCCTTCTATCTGCCAGCCTCGGGCTTTGTTCCCAAAGAACCACCACGTGCTACGGTGTTTTTTTAGGTGGCTATGCGCCCTCGCATCCAGCCAGCGATGGGACCACTGGTCGTATCTCAATGTTTACTGGTGAAGGGGTGAGGCCACATACCAATCCGTCTAGCTCGAAATAACACCGTGTGTGGTCCCTTTAGGACTGCTTATATGCAAAGTATTCTTACTAGCAAATGGTTACACATTTAAAAGTTACAATAATTGAACGGGGGTCATATATGACAAAAGTTGTAAATATTAATGACATAAATAATTTTCTGTCTCATACACAGCACATCATCAAAGATCATTCATTTCGAGGACATCACTAATAAAATAACAATGAGTCTGCTTTTACCGGTTCTCACGGTCTCTTCGCTTGCAGATTTATTATTTTTTCTTCTACCCTGAAGATGGAGGCGATATGTTCCTCCGAAACGTCGGTTAACACCACATATACACGGTGCCAAATCCCAGAAGACTGCTTTCTTCAATGTTATTGTTGTCCAATAAGCCATTTTAAAACTAACGAATAGCTTCGGTAGGCCTGTGAAATGTATTTGTTTAAAATATAAATGTTACTTATTGTTCGTAAAAGTCAGAATGTACATTAGCTCACTAGGATATTCATCTGGAATAAAGAGATTCTCGGATGAAAGACTGGAGGGTCTGCGCTTTGATACGAACCCATGATGTCATGGGAACAGAACCCTCTGTAATTTCAGGCTGTCAAAATACATAAGCCAGCGAGCACTTTGATATTACTGCCCGCTGTCACGACCGTGCGTTAACCACGAACCCTTAAACATGCCACAGACTACTTTATTTACTAGTCTGTAGGGCTGCAAAGTTAAGCCACACACAGCTATAAACCTGATAACCCTTTGACAGTTTAAAAGTGTAAGTAAAGCTTTGAATTTGTTTCATTGTGACCCTCACAATAACACTGTATAAACAAAGCGTCAGTGAGCAATACTCACTAATTGACAGGGAGATAAAGGTTATTAATTTTGGGGATCATGACCGGGTCAAAGGATTGGGAGTACAAAGCACATTCCTTTGAGCCAACGCCTAGTTTAGTTTGAATATAAACTCCTTCCTGAGGTTCAAGAGCTAGTTGTTCATAACTGGTCTGTTCGACTGTACGTCGCTTTGCTTAATAAACATATCCTATCTTCTACCGGACTGGACTTCGCTCCACTCCACATCCTGTTCGTCACCTGCAATTTCCTGGCACTCCGGTAAAACACACAACTACCGGCGATCCCCACGTAAATGTTTGGACATGCTCGTAAGAGATTTAAATTTGTTGATATGGGACGACACGACTGCTTCGACCAGCTACCACTTCGTGCTGCACGTCGTACCATATAACAATATGGGACGACACGACTACATCGACCAACTACCACTTCGTGTTGCACGTCGTACCACATAACAGTGAGCCCCAGTGCAACATCCGTCATTCGCATTTCACCTAACGTAGAACTAATTCTGGGGAATTTTTTTCCAGACCTGCAGACGCGCATTCAACATTCAACAGAAGATGCTGGCCATCACGCTGAACCTCTTTGTCGCCATCTTTATCCTAATTTGGGCCTACTTCACCATTAAGACGCGCCATATGGCGAGACTGGCGAAGAAAATACCGGGCCCCAAACAGTCTCCCCTCTGGAAGAAGCTACTTACAAGTCGCCAAAACTCCAAGTCTACGGGTAAATAAATGTAACGTTACGTACTGGGTACTTAATGTAGAAAGGGGACGGTTGGACAGTGCAGGATACATTAACTGCAGCTGTATATAACTCATCAGTTTTTTCTTTAGAAATGTTACTGCACTGGCTGTGATGTTTATTTACTGTAGTTTCAACGGCAAGTGTTACTTTTTGTTACATAACGAACAATGATTTTGTGGCAACCGCGGATTATACAGAAAGGTGAACATAACTTATCAGTCAGATGGGTAATACAGAAAGCCATTACCTTCATGTGGAATACGCCTGATTTCTGAATTGAAATATATCATTCGAGATTCGAGAATTAAATATAACTCGAAACATAGCTTAGAGAACCCTTTATACAGGAGTATTACCTTCTGACGGTTCAGTGTTTATAATGAAATCCACTGACCACCAAGTGAACTTTACAGGGAACCACCAACAACAGATTACATCTAAACAGCCACGAAGAAAAATATCCCTCGCATTAATTCGCTCTGCATACCAGCAGTCTTCCTTTGCTTGACTAATAGCCTTGCAATTCACAGTACAGGGAAACAGGTAAATCAGTCACTGCAACAGGCCGTGAAGGCCCATAGGGCTATGAGATGTCGAGGTTCCACATTTTCTAGACAATCGGCTCACAGATGGCAGTTGCCAGCGTTACGCTCCAGCCACAATTTACCTCCAGGAAGATTCCTTGTACTCATAGAGACTGAGTCAACCCCAGGGCCATAGTGCGGCTGGAATAATTAGGGCAATTGAAAAAATCAAATGGCCTCATCTGGAATCGAACCCGCGACCTTCCGATTTGAAGCATAGTGCCTCAAACAACCACGCTATCGCTTTTCCCAATTAGCAGTGCTACTAGCACTACCCCCTTAATTTATTTTATTCAGCCACTCTGTTTTGCCCAGTTCTCCCCTAATCATTGACGTACGTCTAATCCATTCACATCAGAAGAATGTGGCGCCGTGTAGATATTGTGTTAACCGACTTTTCGGAGGAACGTATCGCCTGCGTCTTCAGGGTATAAAAATCCGCGAGCGAGGAACCAGTATGAGCAGGTGTCAGCAGACACATCCCAGAGGGCGACATTCGTCATAGTCACCGCCGTGAAAACCTCAAATCTTACATTCATATAGGAATTCAATTAGAAATAAACGGATTACATTTATTTCTTGAAATATTATTTTTCTTCTCACAACGTGTAGATTAAATTCGAATGAAAACTTCCCACCCCATCAAAACAGTTGCAGGAGCAGCATCCTGCTAATCGTTAGGGCAAAGGATATCCACTACAAAATCTAAGATTTTTTAGACCTACGTCCATGCTCGCAAGAATATCGTGTCTCCCTGATTCTGTCGCTAAGACGTTGCTAAGGAAAACTCAATTGTACTTTTATCGATAAGAAATGGTAGGTCAAGACAAATTATCTTTTTCTCTAAACTTATATGAAATTAACCTTTAGGAAACATATCAGAATAAAGCGGGACCGCATCTGTGGTGTAGTGGTCAGAGTTTCTGGCTACAGATCCAGAGGTCTCGGGTTCGATTCCCGGCGTTACCAGATTC